CAGGATTGCAAACTGTTTTCTTTTTAAGAAAAGATGTAAGTTCTGCTCAGTTCTTGCTAAGTGGAGGACTTTGCCAGGGTGCTCATAACAAAATATTCTAAAAGCAGACAGAAAACCACAATGTCCCTCTTACCTATAGGAGATTAGTGACTCTATCAAATTAACATTCACTTTTATAGGACATAAAGGCAGGGCATTGGCGAACTTGGCACAGTCTTCACCCAGCACGTTGGGACCTCCAGTCACCTCCCAGTTGGCAATCTCTGTTAACAGCATAACCAGTTGTCCTTCTCTGTCCCCTTGTTAGCCCACGGGAATGACATTGCCTTGGGATTTGTAGGTCTCTTACAGAAAGGGCCCTGGCAATAAAGTATGAGCTATAACTTTACTAGGTCTCCCTTAAACATTACCACCTGTTGCCATCTGTCTGTGAATTTACTCCAGTTTGCTCAAAGGCAGCAGGTTCCAGGAATATTTTCCCTGCTGAATGAAGGGGAGTGGATGTCTGGCTTCTTTAAGAAAAAGAGAATGATTGTCTCTTAAAGTGACTGAATAATAACTTTTTTTTTTTGAGTTGGAGTTTTACTCTGTTATCCAGGCTGGAGTTCAGTGGCATGATCATGACTCCGCAGCCTCAACCTCCGAGCTCAGGTGATCCTTCCACCTCAGCCTCCTGAATAGCTGAAACTACAGGTGTGTGCCACCACACTTTTTTTTTTCCCTGTAGAGATGAGGTTTTGCTATGTTACCTAGGCTGTTCTTGAACTCCTGGGCTCAAGCAATCCTCCCACCTGGGTCTCTCAAAGTACTGGGATTACAGGCGTAAGCCACTATGCCTGGCTACATAGTTTATCTTTAGATGCTCCATGATTCTAGTTCTCGGAACATGTGGAAGATTGAGATTTGACAGCTTTCTTACACTAAATTTACTACCTTGGCCGGGCTTAGCCTGTAATCCCAGCACTTTGGGAGGCTGAGGCGAGTGGATTGCCTTAACCCACGGGTTTGAGAACAGCCTGGGCAACCTGGCGAGACCTCGTCTCTACAATAAAATAAAAAATAGCCAGGCGTGGTAGTGAGTGTCTGTAGTTCCGGCTACTTGGAAGGCTGAGGCAGAAGGATCACTGGAGCCCAGAAGGTTGACGCTGGGGTGGCCGTTAGCATGCATGTCACTGCACTCCAGCCTGAGCGAAGGAGTAAGACTCCAACTCAAAAAAAAAAAAAAAATTACTACCTCATTGTCATTCATAATTTAATATATATTATTGGAATTATACTATCAGACAAACATATTTTTGCTTCTACAATAAATAGTGCCAGAGAGTATTTAGATGTTGGGGATTTTTATAACAATTTTTTTTTTGGCTTCCTAGAAAAGTAATACATATCCAGAATAAAAAATTCAGGAGTTAAATTTTAGGCAATACAAATGGAAATAAGCAAAAATTTTGAAGATCTTATAAAATCAAAGATGACTACTTCTCATATTTTGTTTTTTTAATATGCATGTAAAATGAATAATTCTGTAATATGTTTTATTGGTTTTTTTCACTTGATAGTCTATTATGAACATTTCTGGTATCATAAAATATTTTATGACACATTAAATGGTATTACATTTACATGAATCATATATATGTGCATATATGTGTGTATATATATGTGTATATACATATATATACACACATATATTGGAAGTGACCAGTGAAAAGTTTTACTCTTCCATCTACCATCTTCTTACCCTCTACTCCCATAGGTCACTATCTTTTATTGTTTTTAAATATCTTTCCAGTGTTTCTTTACTTTAATATAAGCAACTCAAAATATATATTCTTATTCCCCCACAACTTTTACTCCAAAGAAGTACTGTATGCATACTTTTGTGCCTTGATTTACTCACTAAAAATATATCTTTCTACTTCTACAGCACTGTCAATGACTGCATTATTTCATTGCTTGCTTGTAGTATAAATTATTTACCTAATTCCCTATTTTTGGATATTTGGGCTATCTCACAACAGCCTTACAGATGTCTCTTTGCATACAGCTTATGACCATTTCCTTAGGATGAATTATTGAATTATTTTAATTATTTTCTGGACTTTTGCTCCCTGTTTCCAGATTGTGCCTGAAAGGTTATATACTTTATACCTTCCCCAGCAAGGGCCATCAGCAAGTAAAAAGGAGAAATAAGTTAAAAAGAGTTGCAACAATGAAATTTTTGAACATTATATACAAGAAAAAATAAGTACAGAAAAGCAGCAGTGGATTGATAGTTTTGAAGTAATGGAAGGCGAGGGATTCAGTGAGAACTGATTGGGCATTCTTGAAGGAATGGCTAACGTTTAAGTCTTTAATCCATCCTGAGTTAATTTTTGTATATGGGGAGAGATAGGGATCAAGTTTCATTTTTCAGCATGGATGGTCCAATTTTTGTAGTACCATTTGTTGAATAGGGTGTTCTTTCCCCACTGTATGTTTTTGTCTGCTTTGTCAAAGATCCGTTGGTTGTAGCTATTTGGGTTTATTTCTGGATTCTTTATTCTGTTCCATTGGTCCGTGTGACTCTCTTGTACCAGTACCATGATGTTTTGGTTACTACAGCGTGATAGTGTGATTGGAAGTCAGATAATGGGATGCCTCCAGCTTTGTTCTTTTTGCTTAGTATTGCTTTGGCTATTCTAGCTCTTTCTTTGTTCCATACGAATTTTAGGATTTTTTTTTTCTAACTCTGTGAAAAATGATATTGGTAGTTTGATAGGGATTACATTGACTCTGTAGATTACTTTGGGTAATATGATCATTTTAATAATGCTGATTCTTCCAATCCATGAGCATGGGATGTTTGTCCATTTGTGTCCTCTGCAATTTCTTTAATCAGAGTTTTGTAGTTCTCCTTGTAGAGGCCTTTCACCTCCTTGGTTAAATATATTCCTAGGTATTTTAGGTTTTTGGCTGCTATTGTAAATGGAATTGAGTTCTTGATTTGATTCTCAGCTTGGTCACTATTGCTATATAGCGGTGCTATTGATTTGTATGTGTTGATTTTGTATCCTGAAACTTTACTGAATTCATTTATCAAGTCCAGGAGTCTTTTTTAGGAGTCTTTAACCTAAATGTCCATCAACTGATCAGTGGATAATGAAAATGTGGCATATATACACCATGGAATGCCTTGCAGTCAGAAAAAAGATTGAAACCATGTCCTTTGTGGCAACATGGATGGAGCTGGAGATCATCCTCCTAAGTAAACTGACTCAGAAACAGAAAACAAAATGCCACATGTTCTCACTCATACGTGGGAGCTAAATGAGCACAAAGGTGGAAATAATAGACACTGGGAACACCAGGGAGGGGAGAGGGGGGTTAGGGCTCAGAAAATACCTACAGGGTACAATATTCACTATTTTGGGCCATCTGAGACCCAATCCCTACCACTACACAATATGTCCATGCAATGAAGATACATGTGTAACCCCTGAATTTATATATATATATATGGAGAGAGAGAGAGAGAAACATGTTGGAGCTGGAGGTGTGGGGGTTCTGGTCTTGCTTCTGACATGAGAATCTGGGCTGAATCAACAGGGTCTTCAAGTGTGTTTTCTCATCATTGAAAAGGGAAGAGTGGTTATGGGGTTTATTTGGGCCCATTTTGTTCTAAAAGGATTTACAAAGTTGAAATATAAGGGAATCTTCCAGCTCTAAAATTTTTAAATTTTATAATGTACCTTCAAGTTCAGAGAAAATCAGAATTGAACTTTTACTTATTGTTTTTGTGTTTTGAAGTTGCCCTCCTAATGCTGTGTTACTACTCTCTCTTCATTTCATAAATGCTAAGCCTAAACTTTTCACCCCACCACACAGAGCAGTCTCACTCCATAGACAACCTTTCACAAAATTCAGCATGAATTTGAGAGGGAATGTTAAAAGTACAACAGATTCTTGGCTGCCTATATATAAATATGTGCATTTATTTTTAGATAAAGTAATTGTTTAGTCACACTCCCAATAGGACCTCCAGAATGTTAGGTCAGACTTGTGGGGCGGCGGGGGTGGGGGTAGGTAGCCTCTGGTGTGCCATCCGATGCCACATGAAAGATGCAAAGAATTGCACAGAAGTTAGATTAAAAAATATAGTTTATTTAAAAAGCAAATGAGAGAGAGGGAGAGAGGAAATTCACCTCTTTAAGGTAGGGGAGGGGACCAAAGCCAGAGAACATGGCAACAGCCATAGCTTAAAGAGCACATGGCCACACCAGAGTCTAGTAAGGTAATGGCAAATGCCTGCTTGTGGTTGAATACTTTTAATTCTTCCCTTTGATTTGTTAAGGTGATTGGGTGGTGACCTACTCCATATTATCACAAAGGGCAGGTAAGTGCAGGTATTGATGTCAGGTGATAGACAGCAAGCAGATAGGCAGATGGGTGGGTTAGTCACGATTCCTGCCATGGTGGGGTCTGTCTGTGTCACATAGGTCACCAAGGGCTGATTAGGTTAACCTGGGTCTTATGGGTGGAGGCAAATACTTGAAATAGAAAAGCTAATTAGTAAAAAGCTAGGGAGGGGGTTGTAAAACAACTCTCAGTAGCTACCTCTGAGAAACTGGTTCTGTCCTTGGCTAGTGATTAGAGGGTAAGTTAAGTGAAACTCTAGAAATACATGAGATTTAGGCAATGTTAAAAAGGCTGCTCACTGGGTATATTAAATCCATGTTATGCTCTTTCAATAATGTTAATCTGCAACAGCAGTAAAAAAAAAAAAAAAAATCATGTGATTCCCACAAATACCAAATCTGGGATGGTGGTGATATTAGATTTGGCTCCCAGTGTCGCAGTGACTGATGTGGAGGCTAACCATCAGTCAGCCACTACAGGCAAGTGTAGTTATTGGCCAGCTCAGCATCAATGCTGTTTCATCACGTGAAAACTCTGGTCACTGAGACAAGATTGGTCAAGAATGAATGCCAAGTTCAGGCCTTTCCTTCCTTTCTCTACAGCAAGCGAGCTGAAGAGGATCCAGGTGTGCAGGAACTAGAGGCATTAATAGACATGATCCAGAAGCAACTGAACAATCATCCATGCAAAGACAACATCCGTGAGGCATTTCAAGTTTATGACAAAGAGGCTTCAGGATATGTGGACAGAGAGATGTTCTTTAAAATCTGTGAATCTCTTAACGTTCCCATCGATGACTCCTTGGTTAAGGAGGTCAGTATGAATTGCTTTTCTGGGCTGATTACAGAGACTGAGCACTGATCATTCTTTCACAAAGGCAATTGCTTGTGTATTTCATTATGACTGGAGCAGATTTAGGATGTTCAAATCAGATTACCTAGTCTGTCCTGCTAGGTAATTCCCCCATTTTAGCATTGGCGCTCATTTCTTTTTTTTTTTTTTTTTTTTTTTTTTTGGCGCTCATTTCTAATTAAATGGGCCAGGGGCTAGACAGCACAAGCGCTTGGTAGACCAACATGTCAGGGCTGAAGGAGGGCAGCAGAGGTGATGTGGGAGGGACAGTCACCAAGGGGAGACTCAAGGACAAGTTGGTGGAGCAGGAGCATTGGCAGCCTTTGATAACTGTCACAGCTGATACCTACAATGGCCCATTGCAAGGCTAGGATGGAAGGGGGCACGACCACAGCCCAAGGACTGTGGCATCTGCCAGCAGGGGTGGCATGACCAGCTGCACAGAGAAGGGGCATGGAAATGCTCCTCCCAGAATTTTCAAGAGTGAGTTGAAGGGGCATTTTGTATCTTTTCTTCATTGTAAACCCTTTAGCCAGGATTCCCTTGGAAGTCAGAACAAAATCTCCCCACAGTTGCCAAGGACTCTGGTTATTTATCACTGAGACTTTATCACTGATTAAAAACAGTGAGGCTCTGCTGGCCTTTTTAAAGATCTCAGAGATGTTCAGAATTTGAGTCATTTTGGCTTTTGCTTAGGGTAAAGTGACTAGGTTGGAGATGAGGATTTTTCTTTTTTTTTTAGAGGTGAAGTCTCGCCAAGTTGCCCAGGCGAGTCTTGAACCCGCGGGCTCAGGCCATCCACTCACCTCAGCCTCCCAAGGCGCGGGATTACAGGCTGAGCCACCGAGCCCGGCTGAGATGAGGATTTTTCAAAGACAGAAACCTTAGCAGACAGTAGGTGGGGGTATTTGTTCATGGGGACCAAGCATGCATGTAGCTCCCCAAACCTCAAATTGACAGCATGCTCAACTTTGGATTTTCAAGTCATCCATCTTGTCTGACATGGGACCTGACATGGAGAGAGGGAAAGCAGTCATTGGCAAGTGAAACATGGGAGGGGAAGGGGTCAGATTTGCATGTGTCTTATAAAAATAACCACAGCATATCGGTCTGTTACCAGTCATAGTTGAGTTTCAGGGGACATGGCTTGAACAACGGCATAACTAGATTCTTTTTTAGGCTGGGGTAATAGGAGCCTGCTATTTTAAAGAGACCTTATTCCTCATGAGCTGGGTAGATACAGTCTTGTATTTGAATATAAAAACAACCAGGCCAGGTGCAGTAGCTCATGCCTGTATCCCCAGCACTTTGGAAGGCCAAGGTAGGAGGATCACTTAAGCCCATAGACTTTGTCTCTACAAAAAAAAAAAAAAGTCAAAAATTAGCCAGTCATGTTGGTGCATGCCTGTAGTTCTAACTACTCGGGAGGCTGAGAGGGGAGGATCGCCTAAGCCCAGGAAGTCAAGGTTGCAGTGAGCCATGATGGTGCTACTGCACTCTAGTCTGGGCAACAAAGTAGAGACCCCCAACTGAACAAAACAAAACAAAACACCAATTAAAAGTGCTTTGAAAGTGACAATGCCCTCATAAACATGGATGTTAGTCCTGAAATCTTGGGCAGGCCACCGACTCCATCCAGCTTCGATTTCATAAAGTATAAGATGGCATAATGGCTGATCTGTCTGCCAGGTTCACAGGATCATTTCAGAATCAAGTAAGCATATGAACATTCTGAGCTGGTTTACAAGGGCTGGGGATCAGGATGCACAACACACTCTGCGGTGAAGCTGAAGGAAGCCCTGCAGGTCTGTCTCACCTGTTCTCTTTGCTCTTTTCTGCAGCTCATCCGGATGTGCTCTCATGGAGAAGGCAAGATTAACTACTATAACTTTGTTCGTGCTTTCTCAAACTGACCTGGTGTGTGAGAGATTGCAATACTTTTTAATATTGGGTCTACACTCTGAAATGTACCTTATGCTCTTCACAGAGGCCTTTACAGAATTACATTTCTTTTTTGGTTCTTATATTTTGCTACTACTGAAGTCTAAACTAAATTGGATCTTAACAGGATCTAAGATCAGTGCTTTATTTGGGATAATAGGGATATTGTGATGGTTCAGTTTATGTGTCAACTTGACTGGGTCACAGGTATCCAGATGTTTTGCAAACATTATTCTAGGTGTTTCTGTGAGGGTGTTTTTGGATGAGATTAACATTTGAATCCATCTGTAAAGTAAAACAGATTGCCTTCCCTAATGTGAGTGTGCCTCATTCAGTAACTTGAAGGTCTGAGTAGAATACAAAGGCTCACCTTATCCCACGTAAGAGAATTCCTCCCACCTGACTGCCTTCAAATTGCGACACTGTCCTTCCGGCCTTCAGTCTCAAACTGAAACATCAGTTCTTCTTGGGTCTCAAGCCTGCTGGCATTCAGACTGGAGCTGTGCCATCAGCTCTCCTGGTTCTCAGGCCTTTGGATTCAGGCTGGAATTATACCCTCAGCAGTCCTGGGTCTCCAACTTGCCAACTCACCCTGCAGATCATGGACTTGTTAGCCTTCAGAATTGCATGAGCCAATTCATTATAATCAGGCAATGCCACCCCCCCCACCACACACACACACACACATATACCCTGTAAGTTCTGTTTATCTGGATAATCAACTGATAAAGATATAGAATGATTAAGAGCAGGTAGAATGATAGAATTTTCTGGAAGCATCATTTGGGGTATTGGAAATAACACAATATTCCCATTGATGCTAGCCAATGGCCCCACCACTACCCACTTGCCCACTCCAATAACATAGGGAAATATACCACATGTTTTTCAAATTGTGGTTCTAGGCCCATTAGTAGACTTGCATTTTGAATAAAATGGAATAGAAAATACCAGTGTGATACATATAGTAGGGTATTTTTTCATGAAACTTCTGTTTCAACTGAGTGTATTTACTGTATCATGATGTAAAATGTATTTCTTGATGTGGGTTGTAGTAAAAAAAAAAGAAAGAAAGAAAGAAAAACACGCTTGGGAGGCCAGCCTTGAGATAATAGCAGTTACTAGTTCTCTAATGAGCTCTGACTAGCTTTAAATAGAACCAGGGCTGCTCTTTGGTTGAAGTCAGTTACTAAGTTCACCTTTTTTAAAAAGTGCTATTTCAAATTCCTCCCTGTCACCCAAAATGTCGCATGAATGAGAATGGAGTTATACAGGATCTAGGCTGCCTGGGCCCATTCAGAACAGCTGGGGAACTTCCCTTGGAGTTTCCTTTCCCAATGAGCTAAGCTACCTCCAACCAGCTTATTAAAAGGGCTATAAACATATTATGTTGACTCCTTTCCTGCTTCAGGTTGTTATCTCAGAAAGAACCCATGTTTTGTTTTTGTTTTACCCCCAGTCACTCTTAACTATTTTTTTTAAAGTCTCATTTTCAAGTACAGATGTTCCTCAACTTACAATGGAGTTATGGTCCGATAAAACCCTGTAAGTCAAAAATATCACAAGTCGAAAATGCATTTAATACCCTGATAAACCTATCATAAAATGGAAAAAGCCTAAGTCAAACCACTGAAAGTTGGTGACCATCTGTATTTTAAGAGTTTCTCTCAGTCTAAAAATTACTAAGCTCGATCCTACCTGCCCCAGCTTAGTCCTGAGCCAGGCTCGGCAGCCTGTAGTAAACAGAGTATGTGTTGGGCAGGTGTAGTGGGTTTTTCCTTCCTTCTGTCTTGTGCTCCCTGTCATGCTGCTGTTTCTGGCCCTTGTAGGCTCTAGGAAGGGTTAAGGGGTAGAAACTTTGTGGCTAGTAATGTCACAGTCTGGGGCTGGCACCCTTGTTTGTGAGTTCCTAGAAGTCTTTCTCACAGGAAGTCTTAAGTACCATTCCTAGATGCTCTAACAGGACGCTCCCCAGCCCCCTCTTCATCCTCTCAGGAGGTCCTCAGGTTGTGCACTCTTGCCACATTCTCGCCCACATGGCTGTCTCGGCTATGCAGCGACACAGCTCAGTTTCTTTCCTGAGACTTTTTAGGTGAGAACTAGGCACCCGCCTCACTCAGCTTGCAGAGCCAAAGCATTCTCCGATGTGTTCTCCATCACTCCCGCCTCCTGTGGAAGAGCAGCTTTGGGCCCCTCCTCAGCAAATCTTCCATGACCTGTAGTAACCTGTACCTTGTAGACATACTTGCCAATGTTTGTCCTCAGCCAAAAGGGTGGTCTAGGGAAGTCGCATTCAACATCCCATCACCCACCCTTTGAAACCCAAGTATCATAGCCCTTTGAGCCTCACTTCTAACCACTCGTCTCTTTTACTTTCCTATGTCTCTTCCACTAGGGAAAATATAGATTCTCTTTTACTGAATGTAACGGGGAACAGTATTAAGACGTCAGCCCCACTGTAACTGTTAGAAGTGTCTCAGCTGATTTGAATGAGGCTGGCCCTATTCACACACATTCCTTAGCTTGCTGTCCACTCCTCACCTCGCATGTCCTTTCATTTTACCCATGATGAAGAAGCTGAGAACTGACAGCACCGTAACAAAGCAAGAAAGCTACTTCATGAAAGACCCAAGTCACAGGTCACTCTTGTGGCGTCTGTATCCTCACCACTTACCTCTCAGTCTCCATGCGGCACCAAATGTAGGAGCCATGAACCACTAGAGTCAGAGCAAATCACTTTTTCTACCAAAATCCTGAATGGCCATGCCGCCATTAGATGTCCCTAATGATCCTGGGCTACTGTCATAGCTGGCATACATCTGGAGCCTGGAGCGCAGGTGATGGGTGAGAGCTGAGCATGAGCCTGCAGCTAGCAATATTGTAGGAAGCTGACATGACCATCGCTTCAGACTTGCCGCCAGGGAGTTGAGAGAGAATTAGCACCACCTATCAACATCTGCAGTGGAGACACATGGTAACTGAAGCTGTCAGATCTAATTGAAGGATTTGTCGAAGACGGTTTAGGGTGCTCATGGCCCCAAAGCTTATACAATCCGCCTTGTGGGTAAAGACTGGCTGTGAGTTAGCCACTACTCAGACCCCCAGTTCTGTACTCTGTCTGGGCCACCAGAGGGCCTTGACAATACCTTCAAAGGTATATCAAACCCGTATGTAGGCTCTGAGGGTATTTGGGACCACTTGCTAGAGACTTTTCTAAATGTTATTTCCAGAGAAGAAAGGGTCACCCAGGTGAGTGACTCCTGAATCTCCTGCCGGCACTTATGTATGGACATGTTCATTTAAAAATCAGTTTGAGTGCTTTATCCATACCGTGAGCTTAGCATTCGGTGTCTCTCACTACCACCATTCCCTGCAAAACAAAACCAAAACCTTTAGACGCAGGTGAGCAAGCAGACTCATAAAGCTGGCTGTTGGAAATCACTGGCTTCTCATGGCAGAGTAGGACTAAAGCCAAGTCCACACCAAAGCTTGCCCTCCATCACAGCTACTCACCTTCCTCAAGTCAGCATTTCCTTTTTAACTCCACACCCTATGGTGTCCTTGGCTAACTGCCACCTGTGACTGTACTCATCTCCTGAGCTTTCTCCAAAGATGGTTCTGCAAAGTGCAGCAGACAGCTACGGGCAATAGCAGGCCACCTGAGTGACACCGGCACCCGCTGTCCACCATTGTTACTAGCACTTGGATGTCTTCACCAAGCAACAACACTTTGGTTGGCTTCTACACACAAACTAAACCCCATTTCCTCTAAGCCAAATGACTTCATAGTACAGCAAGCATCATGGGTGGTGTGCTTGCTTCTAGAGCTTCCTTGCCACAAACCCATGTTGAGAAAATCCCTTTCCCCACTTTCCTCTTAAAAGATTCATATCCAAATGATGCTTGTTCCTACCCAGCATTCAATGTAACCGACGCTCCATCCTTCCAACTCCCTAACTCACATTCCCACGATGGACAAACACATCTCAAGACATCCAAGAAACAACTAATATAGTGGACAGTATTGGACATGAGGGCCAAAAGGACGCAAACTCATTCTTCAAGTAAAAGCACATGAAAGCATCCAGCTTAAAAAGCATCATTCTACAGACACATGTAAGGGAAGTTATGCGAGACAATTCTGATAATTCTATGCCTTTTATTCAGTTATTTCAGAAAATATTTGATCATTTGTTTCAAAATGTACATTTAAAAAATCCATACAAAACTGTAATTTGTTTCAAAACCAGACAGAAACAGTGGAAAAATGATTTTGGAAAAAAAAGTTCACCAAAAGTAAAAAGACACCCCTCCCCCCAACCCTTTTACACGAAAGCATAAATACGGCAGGTACAAATTTTCCTTGAGTTCCTTGTTGGAATTCGGTCCGTAACATGAACAGGCTAAAGTAGAAAAACAAAGAGACGACCTGTCCACATCCGCACCGTGAGCTGCACAGGGCACAGCAGCCTCAGCTCATCCTTCAGATGCTCGTTAAACAGGAACTGGACAACGAGGCTTATCGTCTCATTGCACAAACACACGGGTGTGTACCGGAGGAAATGGTGCTGTCACAGCCAGATCCTGTCCGAACGCGGCTGCCGACTCTCCAAGCATCCTTCCTCTCCTCGTGAACGAGAGCTCTGGGCTGCCTTCTGGCAGAGTGATGGTGATGTCACGGGCACCACAACGCAGCTTAGGCCCAGACACTGACTTATGCCCCATCGTGAGGATGGTATATTTTTCCTCTTCAAAAGATTAAAAACAACAACATGGACTTCTAAGATGATGCTACATGCTCGACAAGAGTGCCACGGAAACCCACCCAAGATCACGAGAATGACAGCACAAAGGGAAACCGGCTGACATTTCTTCTGTAAGGGATGACACTGCCCCTCCCGCGGGTCCCATCTCTCCCCCAACTGCAGGGTGCTGGGAGGGACAGAAAGGCCTGTGGAAAGTCCACTGGCTGGAAGAGATATTGCACAACCCGGAAGAGCAAGAAAAAGGCAGACAGAGGAGAGGTTCACTGCTGCCAGCACAAGGTGACACCGAGTCAGAAGCGCCACCAATTCTGCAGCAGTCAGCTCGACCCATCATCACAGGGGTTGTCTGCGAGTCAGCACTCGAGTCTGGGAAGTAAAAGTAAACACCTTTATCACAGAAACTTTGGGTTGAATGGGAAGAGGTTATGGCAGGGGTGCCTTCTGTTCTGAATGTGGGGCAAGGGGAAGACCGATAGAGTAGGGCTCACTATGTGGGGTCCTGGGGGGATAAGGAAGCCTCTAGCTTCCCTCAACAGGTGTGAGGTGCACGTGCCTGTGGCCAGGCCACCTCACAGGCTTTTGCAGCCACCCAGCTGGACTAGAAGAGAACTGACACATGAGAAAAACCAAAAACCAAACACAACACACCAGACCCCAACGCAAAGGGAGGGTGGTGTCGAAACTGTCAAAATCCCTGTCCCTTTTATATGTAACTGTACTGAGGTATGGTGTCCTTGGCTGCATATGACAAACAGTCCTAGAGCCCTGGCAGCTGTGGGCTGGCCACACAGAACAAGTGAAAACCTACACGGCAAAGTAAGGCACTTAAGACACACACAAGACCTACTCGGGACACACTCTGCAGGGAGCCTGCGAATCTGAATGGGCCTCTTCATAGCTCTGCTCAGCCCATGAACTCCATGCAAGAGCCAGGCAGCTCTCACGGGGAGGGTGGTCTTTCTTGGCCCTTTAGGAAGAGGCGTTAACACACCAGCAGTAGGTGAAGGGTGAGAACTGGTAAAGGCTTCCTTGTGGGATAGCCTGGGCTGGCGAGGGATTCTATTTAGGTTTTCAAATCATCTGACAATGACCTCATCCTCCAGTAATCCCCAAAGTCCTTTCCTGAGGAGGACCATAAGCAGAGGAAAGAAAGAAGGACCACTTTGCTGTCTTGACTCCATGAGCGAATAACAGAGACCTCGGATGATCAAGGATTGCAGCTTGTTCACTTGTGACACCCAGGCCCCTGGGCAGGGGAAGTCATATGTCCAGACCTCCCTACCTTCTTTCACACCAGGGCCAGGAAGAGCCAACAGGAAGACTGAGGCACATAAAGGAAACCCAAACCAAGGCCGTCCCAGCCACAGGGTCAGCAAGCCACTTCTAATCAAAGTACCCTCAGAATAATTTTGTTGTGGAGTCTTGAGAGGGGTGCGCTCTTGGACACAACCTCTTATTTGCTGCCTAGAAAAAAGATCAAGAGGTTTTGAGGAAGGAGGTCACCAAAGAAAACCCAAGAGCTCACACCTGCCCCAGGCTTCAGGGGCGTTTCGGGTCTCAGGGATCCCTGTCAAGAGAAGTCTCCGTGAAGGTGGCCAGAGCACAGATGTCTGTTTTGGTTTCTTAAATGTCGGTAAGTTGTTCCTTGGGACAGGAACACACAAGCTCCTCAGCAACCACTGGGGCCCAGTGGCCCCGGCACACGCAGGGTTAGGAGAGACTAGAATGGGCACAGCAGCTCTCCCGGCTCTGCCTGCTCCCTTTTTACCCAGAGCCAGCCCCTACCTCCAGAAGGAACACGTGCAGCTTATTAATAGCGCAGCTATCACAGCCTGAGTTGTAAAAATAACTTTCCCATCACTGAACCTCCAAGGAGGGAGCCGGCAGCCCGGGATCTTCTGTCCCCTGACACAGCCTCCCTCTCCTTCCACTGCCACCCATTGGCCTCCCCACGAGTGAGCCCAGCAGGGACATTGGGAGGCCATGGGTGCTGAGGTAGGTGACATCTTTCTCTTGCTCTCGGTGAATGGTACTGAGCTGGGCTCTCAAATGTGGAGGTATCCGGCTTGGCACTTTGGGGACATGAGAGAGAGCATAAAACAGAACATAGTAGCCAGTGTGGCCAGAGTTAGAACAAGCTAGTCCAGCAAGCTCACTCACGGGATGAAGTCGAATTGAGCTACTTCAGCTCAGGCAACATGGATCATATCAACTTGCCAAAGCTTTGGCTCTTCTATGAAATAAACATGCGAGGAAGGCTGGTAGAGGTGACAAAGTACTCTACAACCACCATCTAGGCCCCAACCATCTCTGAAGCCAGGGATAGTGAAACGCCAGCCTCATTCATGGTCTCTGATTTTTTTAGTGTTTTTTGTTTTTCTGTTTTTTGTTTTTTAACATACAGCAAACCCTGAACACACTCTTGTCCGCTGGGAAACAGAACCTAAGTCAACACCAGCCACTGGGCTGGGGGTACCACATCCAAGACATGATATACTGGCAGCACTGGAAACTCGCAGGAGATTCAGGAACATGAAGCCATGGTGTCTCTGGCACCCAAGTGTCTTGGGACAGAGCAGTGGAAACCTACAGACAGGAGAGCAGAGGCTGCTTGATTGCAGGACCTCAGTGGGTCTGTGCACCACTTCATCCTCAGCGCCTGGTACCTGGCGAGCACGCTCTACTGTCAAAGGTACCATGCAACGGTTTAACTGGGGCTCACCTGAGAGGAAGAGACCTCCTGGGGAAGCTGGGGACTGCCAGTACCACAGCCTGGGGAGAGCCCTGGATGGGTGTCTAGCTAACGAGCAGGAAGGCAGGCTTGCAGGGGGTGGCTGAACACTCTCCGGTGGCAGCTCCCAGTCAAGGTAGAGCCTGAACTCAATTAGAGTCCCTGTCAGGGCTGTGACTGAAATGGCCAAGGGGCTCCAGATGAGCTCGGCTATGTGGATACCATGCCACCTTTACCCACATCCTGTTGTGTAGTCAGAGAGGTGACAAGGAAGGAGAGGGAGGGATTGGAGAAACGCTATTTTCACAAACAGTCCCGCTTCCTAATGGCAATCAAAAGCAGCCAAGGGTGGTTCTTCCCATTCCTGCAACCACATCTTGGACAGAGATAAAGGTCTACAATGGTGTTAGGAAATAAATCCCCCAGTCGCTGGGAAATTAAGTTTATCTATAAGTAAGTGACTTGGAGAAGGGGAGTTGCCTTGACGAAAAGACCACTTCCCCATTTTTGGGTAAGAATCCAAGGCTTGGTTTCTACTATGATGCCAGAAAGACTAGTCTACTACATGACACTAAACCCTGTGCCCACCGTGGACTGCTCCTGCCTCAGCATGTGGTGTAAATGTTCTAACTTAGGACCTTCTAAAGCCTAACACTCCTGCTGGAAGTCCTCACAAAGCACCCTAAGGATTGGAGGCCTTGTCCTCAGGTGGAGGGAAGGGAAAAAATATGTGTGTGTGTGGCGGGGGGGGGTAAAACGACTCCTGTCACCTAACCAGAGAGTAATTCTGAGTCAGTGCTGGTTCCACACAGTCTAAAATGCTATAGGTACACTCAACAAACATCAGCAAGTGACAACGATGCCAAAGAACACTCAACAAGGGGGGCCAGGGGAACAGCAGCCCAGGGACCCTCCCTGGACATCAGGGACTGGCATGGGGCTGGAGCCCTCAAGGCTTAGTGTTTCTGCAGCTAGAGATGAAGTCAAGGTAGCAAGTTTGGCCCCTGCCCGAGCTGGCTGGTTCTGGAGCTTGGGGCCAGTCAGTCTCAGACAGGTCTGGGAACTGCTGTTTGGTTTGGTTTTGAATGCTGGTGAATGGCTGAAGGACTGCAGCTGGGACTGCTGAAGAAAGGCCGGGTTGGCTCCTTCATCGTGTTGGCCGCCGTTACCTTTCCAGAAGAACCCGCTGTGCAGTATGCTCGGCTCTTGTTCTACACAGTGGGAAGACTCGTCTTCCATCAGCAATGCCCCATCGGGCGACAGCGCGCTGGTTTCCAATCCCTAGCCAGCCATGGGTAAGCTCTCTCAAGTCACAGGACCCAACAGAGGTAACGCCATCCATCCTTCTGGACTGAGTTGTCACGTCCCAAAGCCAAACGCCTTGGCATTTACAATGAGCAGCAACCACCGTGCCTCAAGATGGTATGTGCAGAACTGGAGCCACAAATCTCATCAGTTAATCAGCACCAAAGAGATCAAGATCCAGGAGGGCCAGGCACCCCTTTTCTTGCCTATCCATGCGAGGACCACCAAGAGGCCTGCCACGGCCCAGATGGAGGCTCCTGGGGACTGACGGACAGGACTGCAACCATAGCTCCCTCCCATTGCAAAAGTCAGACAGAAAAATTGCACAACATGGTGAACTGAAGAAGGAAAAGCAGCAGCCATGAAGGATGAGAAAGAAGGGAAAAGCAGAAAGATAGCGTGAGCACCCAGGCTTCTGGAAAGCCCAGCACAGGACACAGGGGAGAGCATGAGGTGGCCTGGGGGAAAGAGGAGAATTTTTGGCTTTATTGAGAATGGTATATGGAAGAATAAGAAAAGAAAGCCAAGAAGGAGAGAAAAACCCCTGTTTAAAGACCAGGTTTCTGCTGTTGGAGACAGAGGTTCACAAGCAGGAAGGAGAAGACAGGGAGAGGGGTCTGGGCTCCTCGCCCTATGCTGGGCCCCCACCAAGAGGATTCCTGTTCTCAGCACTTTGGCCTTAAGGAGACTTGAGTTTCTTAGTCCGTGAGGAGGTTCCGTTCTCTGCTTTCACCACTCCATTTTCATGGTAACCTGGAAGTAGGAAGGAAACAGACATACATGGCACTTCTGCTGGGACTGAAGCAGAAGGGAGGGGAGGGCTGGGCCAAGGGAGTGGCCTGGGCGGCCCTGCTGCTGTCCGTGGACGTGCCACAGGAATACTGGGCTGCAGTTTCCCATGGCCCATGGAGTCAGCAGCCAGCTCCCAGTTGGTTCCTGCTTTCCCCAGTGTCTTGGACAAGCACCCTCTTGTCTCTGACTGTCCCTGAGCAGGAAGGGCCAGGGTGACACCCAGAAATTCAGGAATAGGCAGAAGCCCACCACCACAGCCTAAGGCTGGGGCCAGCCACTCGCTGGAACCACTCAGATGCTGCCAGAGTCCTCAGTTCCTCGTGAGCCTCTGCAGGACACCAGCCCATTACACAAACAACTCCCAGGAACAGTGGCCACAGCAGGGAGGGGGTTGAGAGGCTGTAGGGACAAGGCCTCACTGGGATGCCTGACAATCCTCTGGCAGAAACACCATGCTCTCTCTCCTGCTGTTAAAAATACTTCCATGTGCCTGCTCAAAGTCCAAGAGCCATGTCAGGCTGCAGCCTCAGGCCTGGACCTCCCCTATCAGCCAGGCCTGACGCCTCCTCACACCCAGCTTCACATGTGTCAGCTTCAAACACACCTGAGCCTTTGCCAAGCAGGTGGCTGCCTGGAGAAAGGCTGGTGAGTCAGAAAGCAGAGCCTGGTGCAGACAGGCCCCCAGGCTGGGCAGAACGTGCGGGGCTGGCAGGGCCTAAGGGCCTGGGTGATTACTGGAGTGTGTGTAGGAGCCAAGGGAAAAGTGGGTGTCCGCCCCTGCCGTCCACCTAGCATTGTGTCACCATGAGTCATTCCCAAAGAAGCTGGGAGGCAGGGGCAGGCCGAGATGTGGAGCAAAAGGGCAGGTGAGGACAGGGCCACCGCACAGCACGGAGAATGGGCGGTGGCAGCAGCAGGACTTGGCTGGGCTCCAGAAGCCACCCTGAGGACATGCTTCCCGCCAGAGTTCCCCACCCAGCCACTGCCCTGCCCCACAGTGGCCAGGGCTCGCGGGCCTGTTAGGACTGGCCCCGCCCACAAGCTGTCCCTGGCCCATCCCAGCCACGCGCCGGTAAGGGAGCCAGGAGCCAGGAGCCCTGGGCTGGAAAGGATCAGGAAGGAGGAGCCTGTAGGGCTGGTCTGAGGAGAGCTTAAGGAGTGGGGCTTGGCTCCTCCCACCTGTCCCAGACAGACTTCCCCTGCGCTGCTCTGAGCCAAGGGCCCTGGCACTCACCAGATTCCCTCTTGAGGAGCCTGGCGGGTAGTCTGGGGGCAGCTGGGACTCTCCGCTTGGCACTCTGTTCGTTCCAGTATTCCCGCCAGTGCCGCAGCTGGGAGTGGATGAAGCGCCACATGAGCCAGGCCTGGGCAGCACATACCAGCAGCAGCACACAGAGCCTGCAGGGGCAGAGGATGGGCTTGAGGCCAGCTATTGGGGGAGAACCAGGGCCGGGGACCCTCAGCTCCCACAGCTCGTCACCTTCACCCTCACCGCCACCATCACCAGAATGATGTGTGCTTCATCAAGCAGCCTTTGCACTAGCACACTCCAGGGTGGTGAAGGGACAGGGGCCAGGGAGATGGGAAGGAAGAGGTGTCAGGTGTACGCCCCTCCCCTACAACCACACTACTCCCATGCCTGGGAGGGCCCAGGAACACTTATTGCACAGAATGAGGCTAATGTGAGCTCCACAAACACTGGTAGAATTCAAATGAACTGACTGGTGATGTAGCTGGAATAATTCTCGAAGAGTGGCTTCTCGTCTAGCATGTCACTTAAAAGCAGAGCAACCCTGGATAATCACCCTCCCGAGCCTGTGGGTTCATGGGAACACAGCGGCTTCCTCGACACACTCCTCGCTGGTAGAAGATGTCCCGTCCATGCTGCTGAGAACACAGCATGGTGACAGTCATCTGAGATCCTGGATGTGAAACCTTTGTGTGCCACGAAGTGATGGAGACACGTAAGGGAGTTGGGTCCTGTTTGGATTGGGACTTGGGCTGCAGTCTGAGCAACCCAGGACCAGGGAGTAAAGATGGTTTTGATGGAAGTAGAAGGCTGGGGTCTCTTCTCCCATCAGGCTCAAAGTCCAGAGACTTCCAGCTAAATAGCAATGTGTGGGAGAAGGTCTGCTCCCTCCTGTCCTACAGAGGTTGCCCCAAATTCAAGGGGCTCCTAGTGGTGCTCAGAGAGCCCTGACTTCTGCCCAACTCACCTGCAAAGCAACGTGTTGAAGTTCCCTTTCTCGGGGTCAAACGCCTGGTTTTCCACGCGAGCCAGTCCAAAGCCAATGGCCAGCACGGCAAGGGTGAGGATGAAGAGACGGGTGATCCCAAAGACAGCAGCCCAGGCACTGAACCTGATCGCAGAAGCAGAAGAGGGACATCAGCCTTTAGGGCCCTTGATGGAACCTTCACCTATATCTCCAGAAGAGACCCCGAGTAGGAAAAGGATTCAAGGGGGGGCCTACGAAGGTGCTTGAGGGAGGGGCTAGAATAAGATGCTCCAGGAAAAAAAAATAACCCAAGGGTGCCGCCTATAGGTAAGTGGGCAGTCAGGACCCAGGGAGGGGCCCACCAACCATCCAGACATGGGAGAGGCCTGCCTCCAGAGGCCGCACTTACAGCCTCTCGTTGTTTTCATCTGCAAAGTAGAAGAGCCGAGCCATGTGGAAGAGGAACTCAGTCGAGTACTGCAGGAGCAACAAGATCAGACCCAGGCGGCTGAGGCTGAGGAAGAAAGACCAGCTTTATTACACTCCCCACATGACGCCACCAGGAGCAGGGGCCATCACGCCTGGACTCAGGCTGTCCCCTGGGCCTGTGGCTTTCCCTCCCACCTTCCCTGACTGGCCCCACCTCATCCTTCAGGATTCAGTTGAGCTGCCATGTCTTCCGGAATTGTTCCTAATACTGACCCAGACATTTTGCTTGTCTGATCAAGATCAAGGCCCTGGCCTGCTCCCACCGGGGACCTGGCCTAGGTTCTTCCAGTGCTCAGTGCTCTACACTCATCACCTAGGCTGGACCGAACACGCTAAAGGTGCTTGGGACAAGTTTACTGAGCTGTGAATGTAGAAATGTAAAGTGTTTCTGCTGTCCAGCTTTCCATTATCCAAGTCTACACAGCTAAGTGGTCCATGGGGAAGCGGGAGGCACTCCTTCTATGTCATCGGGCTTATACATCCTCTCCTGGTCCTCATCACTGCTAGAATGGCAAGGCAGACTGACTGATTTATTTACTTTAGAGACAGAGTCTCACTATGTTGCCCGGGCTGGTCTCGAACTCCTGGCCTCAAGAGATAGATCTTCCCACCTTAGCCTCCCAAAGTCCAGGATTACAGGCATGAACTACTGTTCCTGGACCAGAACAGCTTCTTTAGACTCATTCTGTATGTGACACATAAGCATCTAACACTAGGTCAGAGCTGAACTAGCAGCACAGAACAGCCTTCAACCTCAAAGACCCATCCAGGAATTGGTGCTTCTATAGGTCTCCAGAGACAGGAGACCAGAGTTTGAGAGCTCTTTCCCTTCCTGACTCTATTCATTCAAGTTAGTTATTCTTACAGGATATCTGTGAGAATTTAGGAGACAGTGGACCCTGAGAGCTCCAGGCACCACAGAAGCTCTCAAGATGCCAGCCTAGAGGAAGGACAAGGTGTTCTACACTGCATGGCTATAGCTCAGGAAAAGTCCAAATGATCAGGGACATAGCTCACTCATCAACATGACTGTTTTTGTTTTTTTTTTTTTGAGTTGGAGTCTCACTCTGTCACCCAGACTGGAGTGCAGTGGCCGCTCCCGTCCACCGCAGCCTCGACCTGCTGGGCTCCGGCGATCCTTCCGCCTCAGCCTTCCAAGTAGCTGGAACTACAGGCGTGCGCTGTAGTTAATTTTTTGATTTATTGCAGAGATGAGGTCTCGCCACGTTGCCCAGGCGGGTCTAGAACCCGCGGGCTCAGGCAATCCACTCACCTCAGCCTCCCAAGGCGCAGGATTACAGGCCGAGCCACCGAGCCCAGCTGACTGTTTTCATAAAGAGATTCTCAAGGTCAAGAGACTCTCAGCTTCTAGGACAACTGAGCAGCGAGCTACTATCCACTTCATTACAAACCAAAGGGAAGGGAATCCCAGGGCTGTGCACACTAGTGGCATCTGCCCCGGGACACCATGAGGCAGGAGTCCAGCCTTGAGGTCTTCAGCCTGTACAGCCGTGGTTCAGAGGCCAACCTCCATCGGAAGTCTTCCTGGTTCTCTCTCAGGCTGAAGCAGTCACTTTCCCACAGCAGATGACACATACCACACTACAGTGCTTGCCTCACCAGCTGTCCTTACCTATGGCTGTAACTGCCTCTCCTACCAGGCTGAGAGTGAAGAGAACGGAACCTTCTACTACCTGTCTTTGCATTCTCAAGTCTTAGTGTGGCACTAGGCACACAGAGGGTGTCCAAAAAATGCCAGATAATTTAATTACCCTGTGACAGATACATAGATGTGAAGGGCAAGGGGATGGGTGGCCCCAGGGCTCACTCACTTCAGGAGGTATGCTCCAGCTATGTGTACCAGGTACAGGCAGATATACTGGAGCTGGCGGGGAATCTCCTCCTGGAAGCAAAGAGAAACAGATGGTAAATTCACTCCTTCCCAAAGTGAAGATGAAGGAAGCAGGAAGGAAGTGGAGGCGGAGAGAAGGCCAGGTTGTCCCACCTCTCTAGGACCAGGCTGCTTTAACACACAGTCCCGTGTCACACCCCAGGGCCTGTACACTGGGCTGCTGAAAATTCCAAGGGCATTCGTGTCCATTCCCAAATTCCAGCAGCCTTGGGTCTCGTGGCAAAGGGAGGGGTTTGGGTTGAGAAAGAAGAGACAGGGACTAGGGAAGAGGGCTTTTGGCAATAATTCAGAGGGAAACTATAAAAATAAGTGTTAAAAAAAAAAGACTGGAAATGATTTTTAAGAAAATCTCCATTGGAAATTAGATCAGAGTTTGACTCCCCCAATCCATGCGTCTGGTGGAGAAGGCAGGCAAAAGACAAACCCCAGGCCTGAGCGCGGGGGTCTACATGGAGTTTCTCCAGGGGCAGACTCAGCATTTAACTCACCCCCAACACAGTCCCATCACCACCCAACATTCCAGGCTGCTAAAGATGGAAGGGCAGGTGGCTAGGAGAACAGCAGGCGAAGGGAGCACTTACCTTCCGTACCTTCTGGAAGTATAGCTCGGGAAGTGCATGCAGCCAGTAGGCCAACTGGCATAGGTAGAAGAACTTCACCTGGAAGCTGGAGACAAGGGAGTGAGTCACATACGGAGGACAGAGAAAAACATCCCTGCAGGTGCTTGCCAAGTAGGGGTGCAAAAGACACAGGCCAACAGGGGACACTGGCTCCCCTGCTGGCCTGTGCCCTAGTTCCACATATAAGACCACTTAAAGAGACAAACACAGAAAGCCCATGGGGATAAACAGACGTGATTAACAAAGCATGGAGGAGGGGGAGTTCTTGAACCTTGAGGGAGCTGACAGAGCTCCCTTGAGCCCCGTGGATGGAGCTGGCGGCCAGCAAGTATACAGACAGATGGATGGCTCTATGCAGCGAGAGAAAGATCAAACTCAGCTCCATGGCCTTTGATGTTGTTGCTTTGAAAGGTCTTAGGAAAGGCAAAGGGTGGCCTTCTGAGAGAGGTGGAACCAGGTATTGCCCCTCGGCATCTGGGTGACAGTGGGTGAGGCAGGCGATGCTGCCTCGACAGAGTATCACCGTGGAAGGCAGGAAGGGAAGACTTGCTATGAATGGAAGCAGGTCCTCAAGCAGGTACAAAGCCGGAGAACGTTACAGAGATATCTGCTTCTGTATCTGCCTCATAGAGTCTGGTAGCTCTGTGATGGGGGCTAGTACACTTGATATTCACTCGGGGACTCTCTGATCAGGCACATTGGGAAAAAGTGGCTCTACATGAGCCTACCATCTACAGCAGCAGGCCTCACAGGCTCGGGGCATGAGCCGGTCCTCATGCCAGTGGGCCCATGGTGTTGGGATGGGAAGACAGCGGACCAGCTTGCTTATTCCTGGGGACTGAGCCGCAAGAGTACTCACGGGAGGTACACGTGTGGGTAGTCTTCCCAGAGGCTTCTTGGGTTTGTTAAGTATCCTTCCTGTAGGGGTGAGAGGAGAGATCACTTAGAGATGAGGACATGAGACCCACTGGGGTACTGGAACCAATCTAGGGATCAGGGCTACACTCAGCATCCACCTACCAGAAAGAGAAAGGAACAGGAACCCCAAAGAGAAAGGTACTCTCTGTGTGGGACTCCCAGGCACTTGGCCAGTTTCTTTCTTGTGAAGAGTCATAGCCCAGTAGGAAGGGCAATGCCCTGGGGTCTGAAGCCCTGATTTTCACACTTAGTAGCTGCATCCTCTGAGCAGGTAAATTAACCTCCCTAAGTTTTGGTTGGGAGACTAATTTACCTCTGTACAATGAGGATAAAAAGACCCACTTCACAGAGTTATTGCTGGAAATATATGGAACTATCTATGTCCCGGTGTTTAGTACTGTGCCTGGCATGCAAGCACTCAGGAAATGCCTGTGGGGTGAATAAGTAAATGGGCTCCAGAATCATCATCCACTAGAAAATGAAGAGCCTTGTTTGGCTTTTCACATCACCATGAATGAAAAGAATAGCAGGGCTCATAGTTCCCACAATGTATGTGGACTCTGACACCTGTTATGCCGCATCAGTACTGCCACTTATCCCCATTCCTCTGCAAATCCTTCACACCAGGGTCCTTTCTGACCATTCTCTCTATCCATCCCAGCACCTTGTGTGGGGGAGACGAGGTAACCTGAAAACCTGCTCATTATGAAACATCTAGAAATGTGGAAATCTAATGACTATTCTTTTACATGCAAAGCTGAGTTCACAATAAGAAAGGGAAATCCCCTGGGACTCACAGGAATAGGGAGCTAAAAGCCAGAGCAGTAAGGTGACACTGGAACAGCCCAGAAGGCACTACTCTGGGCTAGGGTTTTTGTGCCCATGTGAGAACAGAAGATGGTGCTTCAAGAGGTGGAAACTGAGACCCCTGCATAAAATTAGGACCCTTGGAAGGCTGCAATCTCAGGGAAAAGGTAAATCAGAAAATGTTTGCTGAACAACACAGGAAAATGAAGATGTCCACTCAGCCTGGGCTCAGGATGGAAACAAAATCATTCACTCAGGTTCATGCTGAGTTTGGAGTTCAAATATATACCAACTGTGTGGTCAAGCTAAGAAATAGTACCAGTGATACCTTCGGGTCAATACCCTCACCCAACCAAGCACATACAGGATTCCTACAGATCAAACCTTGATAAAGATGAATTTACAATCCAAGATTACAAAACACAGGAGGAAACAATCCACCACAAGCAAACATCAGCAGACACAACAAGATTCCAACAAAAACTTGGTTGAATGAATGAATGAATGATGAACGCATTACGCAATTTCTTCTGAAGAAAAGGGCTCTTTATGCGTCACTCAGAGGAGGCAGAAAGGGTTAGATTAGAATGACTTCATTTGAGACATAGGGAAATGCAGGAACAGACAGGAAAGATCTTCTGAAATGAGATGGTTTTACAGTAGCACAGCTGAAATCTGAGTTGGGCCCCAACCTCCTGGTCCAATAACTTGAGGCCAGGTTGCTTCAGTGAATCAGAAAATCAACTGAGCTGGTGGCTTTGATGACAAGGCTGAGAACCTCAGTGTCTACACTTGGATTCTGCAGTGCTCAGGAGAATAGAAGAGGCAACATGGTTTAGTGAGAAGATTTTCGGTTATCATCTACTAGATCTTTGTTTTTCCAAGTGTGGGCTGACCCGCCTACCCCTGAGTCACTAAATGCCCTTTTACCTGTTTGTATGCATTTCATTATGTAGGTCACAGCCCTAATTCCACATCCTTGGGCCTCCATTGGCACAATGACCTGACTGACAGGTCCAATGAGACACATGGACCAGTGTAGTCATGGTAACTGGGACTGGAAGGTCTGGCCTCAAACCCACATGGCCTCATTTCTAATCTCCTCTCACTACCACAGTCTTATTCCCTCCTCCCTCAGTCACACACTGATGGAGGCTTCGAGGTGGAAGATTCTGGCACTCAGGTGGTGGTGATCATGGTGCGCTCTTTTAAATACACTCCCGTGAGGCTAGGCACAGTAACTCGCGCCTGTAATCCCAGCACTTTGGGAGGTGGGAGGATTGCCTGAGTCCAGAGGTTTGAGACCAGCCTGAGCAACTTGGCAAGACCCTGCCTCTACGATAAATTTCAAAAATTAGCCAGGTGTGGTGGCACATGCCTATGGGTCTGGCAACTTGGAAGGCTGAGGTAGTAGGATTGCCTGAGCCCAGCAGGTCGAGGCTGTGGTGGCCTTGAGTGTGCCAGCCTGGGCGACAGAGGAAGACTGCTACTCAAAAAAAAAAAAAAAGTCAAATACACTGCAGTGATATGTTCCCCCTCTCCCTCTCCCCCACTAACATACCTGTCTTGATCAGATCTCTGGCCCTAGGCTCCCTCATTCCAGGGAAATCAGAGGGGTAAGAATGTCTTTTCCTAGAGGAAGCAGCAATGTACTTTAAAGAAAAATGGTGCTTCTGATACTAAGGTGGGAAAGGAATTTCTGCTTCCACCCTCACCCCCAAGAAAAAAAGACTGGTTGAGAAAAGCAGCACTGAGAAAAATCTAAAGCCCAGACAACCTTGTGATTTTAAACAGGAATGCTCTTTGGCTTGGCCTCTTATTAGGAGACAAAGAGGTCAGAACTTTGTAGCCAGCAAGCAAAGAAACTTCCCCAGAAAAATGCTGCTGCTTGTGAATGTCTAGTCCTCTGGGACTGGAGGAGGAAGGGAGTAGAGGGATAAGAGCAGGGGCCAGAGGAAAAATGACTCACTGCCCTGAGAACAGCCTTTGCCAGACCTCTGTCCAGGCAGCTAGACAGAGCTGAGGAGGCTGGGGCTGAGCACGCTCAGCTCAGGTGTGTGGAGCACGGCTGGCAAGCACTTGTGACTCACCCAATCCCAACCACCAACAGACCTCGGCACATGGGGGAGCTTTTGAAATCCTTTGCTCTCTCCTGAGTCTACACATCAAGCTGCAAGCCAAGCAAGGCCTCAGTTGGCTAGAGCCATCCCTCCTCTTCTCCAGCGCCTGCCTTTTTGGTGTATTCACAAAAAGAACCACAATAACAGCAGAATCAGACATAACATAGCTAGTTGCTCCCTAAATCCAGACAAACTTTGTCTATCAGAACAACCATGCGCTAAAACTCAGCTCTAAAGTGACCAGTCTGCCAGTAGAAACCCATCTTGATCCAAGCACCAGCATTCAAGATGTCCCCTCTGCTGGGTCCTCACTGAGCAGTGGATTTTAGGTTCTAAAGTATGAAGTCGGACATCCCAAGGAAGTCAGATGGGAGACTACACGCCCACCCATCGGGTTTTCTCCCATGGAGTTGCTTTTGTTTTTCCCTGAACAATGAATAGTAGATCAAAGGGGGATTAAAAGTTGGAGGTTGACATACTTAGACAATTATTGGCAGGTACAACCACCTTCCATTGCTCTACCTGTATATATACTGAGAGAAATGTTGGAACCAAATTCCAAAATAAAACAGGCATTTCTCTTGGGAGGGATTGGGGTATACGTTTGCTTTCTTTTTTGAACTTCTTTGTATTGTTCACTTTTTAAAAACTGATTATCTATGATGTTTATAAAAACAATCAATTCATTACTTTAAAACAGTTGGAGGCTAAAGAAAGAAGATGCAGTTTATGCATTCTCACAGCCAGTACTGAGTGCTCAGTACATGCCAGGCACTATTCCAGGACTGCAGCATTGTACACAGTGCCTACCAGCAAGCAGCTCAGGGTCCCACGGAGAGACCCACACAGAGAATACACACATGAACAAGAATGATACTGGCATTGGCGCAGTGCAGAAAATGCAAATTAAGGGGGTGTTCTCTGAGGAAGTGACGTTTAGGTAGAGAAATGGCTGGCAAGGAGCTGGCCGCGGGATGTCAGGTGACGGAGCCCTTGTGTAGAGGATCCGCTGGTGTATAGCCCAGGTGCACAGCCCAGGAGGTAGAACAGCCAGGGGTGTCAGAGGAGCAGAGGGGGAAGCAACAGGCCAGCCAGTCGCAGCTCACGTGAGCAGGGAGGGAACACGCTCCCACTGCAGGTACCACACAGGCTTCTAAGCAGGGGATGCAGGATTTTCTTTCTCTTTTAAAAAGAGCCATCTGGCTGAGCAGAAAATGGATTGGGATGGGTGCTAGAGTGGAAACAGCCTCCTTTTGAAAAAAGGATATGCAGAGGTCCATGGACTAGATAGATCAGGGTCTCTCTACTGTGGCATGATGGGCTCCTGGGGCCAGATGATTCCTTGTCGTGGGAGCTATCCTGTGCATTACGGGATATTTAGTAGCATCCTTGGCCCCTACCCACTAGACGACATTAGCATGTTGCCGAATGGCCCCAGGGGCCAACATCTGCCTGATCAAGGATCACTGGACTAGGGGTGGCAGTGCAGGTAAGAACATCCCTGTGTTTGGAGGCAGAGCTGGCAGGACTTGCTGATAAACTGTGGAGAGTGAGAGGAAGAAGAATCAGGAAAAATCTGCATCAAAACAGAAAAAAATATGATTTTTTAAGAAACTAGCTGTTTTTACTCCTTTTACAGAACTCACTCTCTTCTTTTTCAATCACTTTCCTTCTAGGTAGTTTAGATGGTGGAGGTGATGGCCAGGAGTTAAACAGTGTTACTGGGAGCTGGGGGTCACGAGAGCCTTCCATGATCATCTGGTCTCTGTTCCTGTTGAATATGTTGAGTGGGGAAGTGGCTGTCTCCAGAATGAGACTGTCATAAGCTTCCCCCAAAAAAGCTTCCATGTTCCCAAACTAATTAGCTCATCATTTTCAAGTCCAGGAAGACACCTTCCCAGACAGAACAGTTGAGCATTTCACACTCTGGATGGGGTGTTAAGTTAAGTTGGCTCTGGCTGCCAAATCTGGTCTGCATGTGTTGCAGCTGGGGTGGAATGTCTGGGTGCGAGGGTGAAAGGGTAAAAGTGATTTAGCAATGAGGCAATGCTTCTCTGGAACCCCAGTCAAATGTCTTGGCATCCTGAGGCCACTTTGGGTCTCCAGAGGTGGATGTGAATTCAACAGCAAAGGCATGAGAGATGTCTGAAATCCAGAAAAACGGACTTTCAGGCACTGCACAATGGCAGGGGGCACTATTCACACAACAAGAAGTCTACCCCCTGGGACCATGCAACAGGGACAACCCTGCTCGAGAGGACAGATGTCTCAGGTTTCCCATTTAAAATATCCAGCGTTCCATTTAGGAAAACTATTCTGCGATGAAATGATAAAAAGAAAGGCAACATACAAGAGACATGTGGATTCCTGCTTTGAGAACACGAATTCAGTGTCTGGATCTGGAGACAGAGTTCCTTATTATAGGAGAACCCATCCCTGTCACTGAAAGAAGAAGGAGGTGAGGGGGGTCTGTGGAAGGCAGGGCAGGAAATCTCAAAGAGGTCACAGGGTTGTGGAATTTTCCAAGCCCCAGGCCTGGATTCCTCAGGGGACCAGTGCTTTGCTCTAGGTGGTGGTGGGTGCTAATTAAACACTGCCTAGACAACGCGCAGGGTCTTGTTACAGAGAACCCCAAAGGACTGTCCACATTCCTTTGTAGGAGGGAATTTTGCTGTATCAAAGGTTGCTTGAAATAAGAGTCCTATTGTGTAGAAAAGGGAGGTAGATAAACTGTCTGGTCCTGCAGGCATTTGTTGGGATGGCACTACCTCTCACAGGATTTGATGAGTAGACAGGGCAAGGCTGGCCTCGTTTCTAGGAGGCCAATATAGTAAAAGAGAAAGTGCATTGGGCTTGGAATCAGACCTCCAAGTCCAAGCCACCTTTGTCACTTTGCAACCTCATGAGCTTGGAACTCTTCAATCTGTAACGTGGGTATCGGAATGAACATTTATCTTATGGGATAATGTATATAGAAAGGCCTTGTAAAGCAAAGCAGTGTTATGTCGTATCATTATTGCAATATCACATAATAATTATAACACATATTGACTGTTGGACAAGGTGATTCTTCCAGTCATCTATATCACTTGGCCTCTTGCTGCACCACCACGAGAATGTAAACACAGTTCCAGTTCTAAGGAACTAAGAAGGTTCTAAGAAACCTGCTCCTTGCTCTTTTTCTTCCCTGCTAAGCCCTTCGCACTCATTTTATTAGCAATCCCAGAGTCAGAACAGCCTTGCAGCCCAGCCCCAGCTACCCGCCTCCGGCAGTTCCGAGGATCACTCACCGTCACCACCACATAGAAGCACCAGATCACCGAGCTGAGATGAAAGACGACGAGCTGTCCGGATTCATTGAACTTGCTGTGTTTGACCTTGGAGAGATGAAGCCGTTTGCTGATTTTCTAAAGAATAAAGAAAACCCCACACATTAATAATATATGGGTGTATCTGTATTGGCAAGTTTTAAACTCCTGTTTTCTCCCCACAAAAGGCCTAAACAACACTAGAAGTTTGCAGCGGGTCATAATCCAAGTTATTTTGTCTAACTTGCTGTGTGCATGAGTTGCTTAGTCTATGTTTAATCTAAGGCGAACATTTTGGAAAAGTAAGGTGAATGTCTTTGGCCCACATGTCAAGAAAATACCCCCCAATCACGCTATGTGCAGCAGACTCATGAAGACACCATCTTGTCAAATTTTGGACAGCTTTCTTCCTATGAAACAGACACTGGTGTCCCATGTGCTGACCAGAGAAGGTTGTGAGAGGGGACTGAAACCAAAACGTAGTGAGTGAACAGAACCAACCAGGTAGTTGCTATCATTTTTGTTGTTGTTGTTGTTGGGCTACTATGGGGATTAAATGAGATAATGTGCTTATCACACTGCCTGTAATTTATAGTAAACAAGCAAATTAGGGGGGGAAATGGATTCAGAGCTGCATTCTCCTCCAAGGCAAAATCCTCCACCCCAAGACATCTCCCCAGCGTCTGATCTCAGAATCAGACCTGTCACTTACATCTAAAATGTACTCCTGAACCACGGCGTGCAAGATGATGGTGATGAAAATGTAGAACAAGATGGTGACCAGGTCCTTCGGGCCATAGTGGTAGTGCACGGTCTCACTGTCTGTGGAGGTAATGAGAGGCCCATCAACATCTCTGTGATGAGAAAATGCGCTGGGATCCAAAACTGAAATAAGATGGGAAGTAGGTGACATCCAATGGGGAGGTCTAAGAAGAACCAAGCGCACTGCCATATTGTGATGCCCGTGTGTTTCTGGAGTCTGGACAGGAGAGGACAGCAATTAGGAGCCAGGGGTTGGAGACAACCAAACTCCACCACTCACTGACTGTGTGACTATGGATACGTGAGAAACTCTCTGAGCCTCAATTTCCTCCCCTTCAGGTTGGGACTATTGTTACACTGCATCGAGGAAGCACAGTGTGGGGGTTGAGTATGGACTCAGGAACTGGACTGCCTGAGTTTGTCCTCTACCTCCTATGTGGCTTGGGGCACCTCTATGTGTGGCCTTATGCGTCTCAGTTTTCTCATCTATAAAATGAGGACAACAGTTCCTGCATTGTAGAATTACTTTGAGAATTGAATGAATTAATAAATGTAAAGTGCTTAGAACAGTGTCTGGCACACAGTAAGTGCTATTTATGTAGGTGTTATTATTTTTTTGTTGCATTACTATGGGGATTAAATAAGATAATTTGCTTATCACACTGCCTGTGATTTGCAGCAAACATCCACTAAATGGTGGTTTGTTAAAATACTATTTAATAGTAATAAATTAGATTGAGTATGGTGGCTCACACCTGTAAATCCCAGCACTTAGAGGCTGAGGTGGGAGCCCAGATGTTCACGATCAGCCTGGGCAACATAGCAAGACCCCTATCTCTGTTTAAATATTCATATAAATAAATTTTGTAGCCTAAAAAAAAATAGTAATAAATCAGAATCCCAGAGAGGGAAGTCTTGTGAAGCCCTGATACTGCAGCCTCACTTTCCACAAACAGAGGAGACTGTACACCCTCGCTCCAGGCAGGCAGCAGGCTGCAGGGCTGCGAGGGCCTGGTGGCCGCATGCTGGGTCTGGGCTGCTCTGCGAATCCTCTGTCCCCCAGGCAGACGCTGGCCGCCTCTCCAGCTGTGCGGCATTCGCCCTGAATCACACACACATGAGTCATCTCTCTGCTGGGACACATTTACAGAAGGTGGGCCAGGCTCGGTTTGCTTCAGGGTGTCCAGGGAACAAAGCAACACCAATTGGGTTGCCCTGGGAGGCCACCCTGACCTTGGTCACCGTGGCCTGGAAGAATGTGACTGTGGGCGGTGGTGTGAGGCTGAGAGGAGCTGTCGAAGACAGAGAGAACATGATCTTTGAAATCAGACAAACTTTCCTTTTTCCTCTCCCTCCTCCTTTCCACAAAGACCTGCTCTGTGAAAGGCACTAGGCTAACCGTTAGAACATGGAGATGAAAGATGCCACCCTGCTGGAAAGCCCCCAGTACAGCAGGGAGACAGCCCACAGAGGCCAGCTCCACTGCAGACAGGCAGAGCTCCGAGAAGCACATGGTCAGCAAGGGTAGGTGAGGGTGCAACCCCAGCTGGGGTGGCGGGTGGAAGGTGACTGATCAGGATGGCATCGGAACTTGGAACCAGGTAGGGAGTGAGGGACGACACCCAACAGAGGAAGCGGCATCACACAGGATGGAGACTGAGGCTGGAGTGAGGGGGTGGTGGGGGAGGGGGCTATGGCCAGCAAGGCTGCTCCCGCGGCCTGTACACCACATGAAAGGGTGTGGACTTTATCCTGAAGGCCGTGTGGAAACATCCAAGAATTCCTATGAAACAGGAAAATGATGAAATTGCTCTGTGGAACGTTTACTCTGGCAGCAGCAAACAGGCTGGACGTGAGGACACCAGTTGAGAAGCTGTCCCCATAACCCAGGTGAGGGACCATGGGCCTGAGTCAAGGCGAGAGCAGGGAGAGGAAGGGAGGAGAAGGCTGTCAGTGACAGAGAACTGATGAGCCTTGGCCACGGACCACTGAAGGGCTGAGATCTGGGAGGGGCAGTCAGGCTCCAAGGACAGGGGAGAAAACATGGAGAAGAGACATGCAGCCCAGCCTCTGGTCTTTGCTTCACCAACTGTGAAGCTGGGATTACTTTCCCCTGCCTTCTTCATAAGGGAGGATCAAAAGAGTCCAACTTGATGGAACCATATTTTGAAATTATAAAATAACTAAACACATGCGAAGTTTCATCATCAAGACCATCGTTACTAGACAAAATGGGATTTATACTCAGCCAAACACGCACAGTTTAAAAACCATTGAAATAACTCCTATGAGAACTTTATTTTTAATTTTTTATTTGTTTTTGAGTTGGAGTCTCACTCAATCGTCCAGGCTGGAGTGCAGTGGCACACTCATGGCCACCCCAGTGTCGACCTGCTGGCCTCTGGGGATCCTTCTACCTCAGCCTTCCAAGTAGCCAGAACTACAGATGCGCGCTACCACGTCCGGCTAATTTTTTGATGTATTGTAGAGACCAGGTCGTGTCAAGTTGCCCAGGCTGGTCTCGAACTTGTGGCTCAAATAATCCACTTGCCTTGGCCTCCCAAAGTGCTGGGATTACTGGCTGAGCCACTGAGCCTAGCCACCCGTGAGAACTTTAGATGATCCATTTTCAAGCCCCTTGAGGGTCACCTGCCATTCTTGACCCCAAATACTATGACTCCGAAGAGATGTGACCACAGCCTTAAACCCTTCTTGAAACAGGATTGAATGCAGGTTGAGAGCTGCCTGCAAGCATCCTCACCAGCCAACAAACCTGAGAAGGGCTCCATGCTGGACATGGGGCGGGGCAGTGAGTGTCATGGGCATGGCTGCTGCTCTCCTGGGGCTTAGTGGGTACACACCAAATCCTCGTCTACTGAAAATCAGTGGCCAAAGGACAACTCAGTAACAAAAACCAAACAATCCGATTAAAAAAATAGGCTAAGGTCTTGAAAAGACATTTCACCAAAGGAATACTAATGGCCAATGAGGACAGAAAAAGACAACTCAACATCACGAATCACTGGGAAATGCAAATCAAAACCACCGTGAGATATCGCCTCATACCTATTAGGATGGCTACAAAAACAGAAAAAAACAAGTGTTGTTGAGAATGTAGAGCAATTGGAACCCTGTGCGTTGTTGCCAGAGGCTGGGAGGAGGGGAAATGGAGAAGTGATGCTTAAGGGTTATAGAGTTTCAGTTCTGTAAGATTAAAAGAATTCTGGAGATTGGCTGCACAACACTGTAAATGTACTTATGGTGAATCCTCAAAAAGTTAAAAAGAGAATCCACCTTTGGGAGGCTGAGGTGAGTGAATTTCCTGAGCCCGCGGGTTCGAGACCCACCTGGGCAGCGAGACCTCATCTCTACAATAAATCAAAAAAAAAATCAGCGCATGCCTGTAATTCCAGCTACTTGGAAGGCTGAGGCGGAAGGATCGCCGGAGCCCAGCAGGTCGAGGCTGCGGTGGCCGGGAGTGGCCACTGCACTCCAGTCTGGGCGACAGAGTGAGACTCCAACTCAAAAAAAAAAAAAAGAGAATCCAGCAGTTCCACTTTGGGGTATATGCTAGAAAGAACTGAAAGCAAGATCTCAATGAAATATCTGTACACACAAGTTCACAGCAGCACTGTTCGCAGCAGCCAAAAGGTGGAAGCAATCCATGTGTCCATGGACCAAAGAATGAAGAAACAGAATGTGGTCTGTCCATACCACGGAACAGTATTCAGCCTTAAGAAGGAAGGAAATTCTGACACATGTTACGATGTGAACCTCGAGGACATAATGTTAAGAAAGTAAAAAACAAAACAAAACTGTATTCCACTTCCATGAGGTATCTAGAGTAGTGTTCTCTGCTCTAAATTCAGGAAAACAAAGTAGAATGGTGGTGCCAAGAGCTGGGGGGAGGGGAAGATGGGGAATTGCTGTTTAATGGGTAGGGGTTTCAGTTTTGCAATAAGCAAAGTACTGGAGATTGGTCACACAACACTGTGAATGTACTTAACACCACTTGTACACTTAAAATGACTAAGATGGCAAATTTTGTGTTATCTGCATTTTACCACAACTGAAAAACAAGCCAAGCATGGTGGCTCATGCCTATAATCCCAGCACTTTGGGAGGCTGAGGCTTGAGCCCAGGAGGTCGAGGCTACGGTGAGCCTGGGCCACAGAGTGAGATCTCAACTGAAAAAAACAAAAAAATACAATAAAGTAAATAAAAAATAACAAAAAACAAGTGGCCAGATATAAAAATGCTCTGACCTGAGTCAAAGGCTGAGAGAGAAGGGAGGCTGAAGTCTGCAGAGCTGGGAGGTCAGGAAGGGCCCTTGATAGGCTATGGCAAGACATGTGGATTATACCCTAAAGGCAATGACAGCTGCTGGAGGACTTGTTTATCAAGTCACATGTTTATCAAGATCTTTCCTCCTGCCATATGGGGGTCGGGCTAGAGCGGCAACGATGAATGCTGGGTAATGCAGCTTGGATGTTGTCCTCTCCAAATCTCAGGTTGAAATGTGGTGCCAGTGTTGGAGGTGGGACCTGGTGGGAGGTGCCTGAGTCATGGTTGGGGGGAATCCCTCATGAAAGGCTTGGTGTGTATTAGTACTCAAAGCCGCTTGTTTAAAAGAGCCTGGCACCACCTCCTTCTGTCTTGCTTCTGCTCTCACCATGTGACATGCCACCTCCCTTTGCCTTCCGCCACCAGTAAAAGCTTCCTGAATCCTCATCGGAAGCCCAGCAGATGCCAGAGCCATGCAGACCTGTGAGCCAAATAAATCTCCTTTCTCTATAAATTACCTAGCCTCAAGTATTTCTTTGTAGCAACACAAAGCCGACTGATACTCAGGAAGGTAGTCAGGAGGCCCAGTGGGAATTCTGGGTGAGGGCGAAGTGATGGTGGGTGCCCTGCACCAGGAGGGTGACAGAGCAAAGGGGAGAAGACAAGATAGGGTGATGGAACCAAGAGAACTAGCTGATGGACTGGCTGTGGGGAATGTTTCTCTGGTCCTTCTGGAATCTTATCTGTATTGTATAGCCTTCATGGTTTCACAATTC